GTGGGGAAAGTTCTCTGGGCGATAAGCACACACTGGGAGTCTGACGGATTGGGCACCTGCCCCGCGCTGGCTGCAGGCAAATGCTGTGTCAGTTTCCTGCCTACCCCTGGGTGTAAGTGCCCGAGGACTCAGGCTCCTCTGTCCCTTCCTCCCGGTGGCCGTCAGACTGCAGTCCCTCCGCCGGGTGCTGGGGAGGAGGCCGGGCTGGGCAACTGGAGCCGGGAGACCTCTGCCCTGCAGCCCCCAGGGCCCATGAACGCTGCTTAAAAAGCAGGGGCACCACCCAGTCTGTCGTCTTAAGGCGGTTGAAGACTGTTCACGCAGAGCCTGTTGGCCTCTAGAGATTTTATTTTTACAGTTGAAGGCTCTCATCCCTGATGAGAACGAGAGGCGGTGAGCCTTCCCCCGTCCCGCGCCACCCCCCGCCCCCGCAGGCACAAATGCCCCTACCGAGGGCCTGCCTCTGCCCAGGTGGGCAGCCTCACAGCCTGGCGGTGCCCACGCCCCTGGGTGCCCGGCAGAGTGCCTCCCAAGGGCCCCAGCAGCCTGTGCTTGGCTTTTGTCCCCTCAGCATCCTCCTCAGACGTGTCCCTGGAGGGAGGTGTGTATCCCGCAGACTGAGGTGTGTTTAAGGCACCCTTGGCCGGGCTGGGGGCCGCTGGGGCAGATGGCGGAGCGGGACCACCCGCGGGGCTGCACCCAGCCGTTCCCCCGCAGACCCACCCGCATCGGACTTCCTGAAACTTCCAAGCCGGTTTTTTAGTCACATTCCCCTCATCCTGTTTCGCAGGGAAAGAAAATGAGCGGGTGTTCTCTCTGCTGTAACCAGCACTCTGAACAGAGGCAGGTTGCAATTGTCTAGAAAAACAAATGGAGGAAAGAGGCATGAAAAAAACTGGAAAATGAATTGGGAAAAGAATAATGTATTGGCCCCAAGTGTGTATTTTGGGAAGATTTATTGGGCTGTCGTAAATTCTTCATAATGACCCTCTCCTTAGGTTTGGTGGCCGTGACCAGGGCCAGGGGCAGGGGAGTGGGCCCCAGTTCTGTGCTGCTCGCCTGTGAGGGCGAAAGGACGCAGTTCCTTCTGAGGTCGAAGGGTTAAAACAGCCTAAACTGCTTTAGTTGGAGCCAAGCGCTTGCCTCTGTCCCTCAGCTGTCCCTCAGCTCCCTGGGGCCCGGCGGCCGCCGCAGGGTCGCCCTGTTTCCCGCGGCCTGCCCCTCACCTGTCTTCGTGTGTGTCCATCTGTCGTTGGCTAAGTCACTGATGCCTCCGTGGTCTTAGAGGAAGCCCGTGGGAGGGCACCACCCGGCAGAGCCAACTCTGGAAAACGCAAATTTAGATCTTTCACTACTTACTTAACAGACCTGGTTTCCCAGATAC